CTATAATTTTATTGTATAGTCTACTGGTTAGTATTGTGTTCAGTCTTGGGCTTCTTACCTTAGGAAGGACATTGAATTGTTGGAAAGAGTTCAGAGAAGGGTTACTAGAATGGTGCCTGGGATGGAGGGGTTGTCATACAAGGAGAAGCTTAAATCTCTCAAATTGTTTTCTCTTCAGTTAGAGGGGATCTGATTGAGGTGATTAAGATTGTAAAGGGGATTAATAGTGTTGATGCATCATCTCTTAACAATGAAAATAGTAGGACTACGGGCCACAAATATAAATTTTGGCAAGGTAGGAGTCATCTTTAGGTAAGACAATATTATTTTTCTAACAGGGTAGTTGGGCCTTTGGATGTTGCAGAGTCAATAAATTTATGTGAGTTTAAGAGAAAGCTTCGAGTAGGCCACACATTTGAATCATGTTCATAACCAAAAAAAGCTAAACCTTTTGATGTTTCAAACCAAATTAAAGAATAATAAAAAAAAGACAAGTTTATATTTAACTAGTATTAGCAAAATTACTTACAACAATTTCATAGTTGTGGTTATTTAGGTGATCCCCAATTTCTGATCCCTTGGCAAAACAATGAAGACACAGGAAACACTCGGAGTCAGATAAACATTCCGTGCAGTGAATGTATGGTTCAGCAAGAATAATTCCACACATTAAGCAGACTTTACCTTCTTTAATAATGATATCCATACTTGGTTCATCTGAAGTTTCTTAAAGCATTCTTTGTAATCAAGTTTTGGTATTGATAATGGTACTATGTTTAAAAACAAATCCCACAATCTTAATAACTGTTTTTGTGAAACAACTGTTACATACCGTACTATTAATATTGTATAGTAATAGTATTAACATGCCTATCTTAGTATCCGACTTCCATCCAAGTACTCCGATATTCAAATCTCAACTGCGTTGTTTTTTCGAGATATTAGCAACTAAATTATGACACTACAGTCTATAATATTTTATATACAATATACTTTTAGTAATAATACTAGTAATAGTATAACTATTTCAGTATTTGTCAAGACTCAAAATCAAATACTGAAATACAAAAGCTGAGTTTTACATTTTATTGTTCCTTTATATATATCTAAGAACTAATGAAATAAGTTGAACAGTTTACTTTGGGGTGTATTTAAATAGCCAAAATACTGATTATTCAATGTTAAAAATATAGGATAATTAAACTTTTTAGTTTTTTGAAGCCAAAAGATAAGTTCCAATCCTACTACTATTACTACACTCACTCCAGGTAGTAGGTATGGTATATAGAGGGCGCTGTAAGGAAAAAGCACACTCATTTTTTAAAGTTTGAAATATTTATGCTTTTATTATCATAGAACTTCCTAATTTGTATTATTAAAAATGTCATGCTAAAAGCATGCAAGAAACACATCTTTAGTTAACGCTAGTGGCTCGTGGTTGTGTTGGAAATTAGGTAAACGGAAATTGGCAAATGTTAACATTTGAGCTCGTCAGGTAAGTTTCAGGCTAACAACTCATAAAGACGAAAGGCGGAAGACTTTTGAAACGTCGTTCTCTACACTTTTGCCGTCCATTCTACAAAGTTTCAACATAAAGACCTATACAGGTAAGTTAGTAAGCAAATTGGATGAAAGATCAGGTAAAATATGTTATCTGTCTTTCTACTGTAATAAGCTTCAGTGGTTTGTTTGTTTGAAGTTAAGCACAAAGCTACACAATGGGCTATCTGTGCTCTGCCCACCACGGGTATTGAAACCCGATTTCTAGCGTTGTAAATCCGCAGACATACCACTTTGCCACTGGGGGCAAGCTTCAGTAGACACTGGCAACTGGCTGGTCCGGTTTCCTCATAAACTCTGACCTCCTTTACGTTTAATGTACATGACAGTTTGACTTAAAATTCATAAAATAAAAGATCGTCTTACGTTGGATAGAAGCTGTACTGTACATTAACGCTAGTCCATTTTACACAGTAATAAAGAGTAAAAACGTGGCACATCAAACACTATGACGTTATGAGTAGAGAGCCAGCTACCTTAAAATCAACTCCAATTCTCGACGAATATCAGCATAATTAATGCTTCCAAAATGTCTTGTCCCATTGTGGCACGAAGTTTTATGGATTTTTTCCGGCTTTCTGAACGCTCTTTCACAATTTAATTGAGTAAGAGATATGGTTATATGTTATTCGCAGGTTAAATACATGGTGGTGTAAGCAGTAGAGGGTCGTAGCAAGCGGTAAGGCCAGTTAGGCCATGGCCTGACACTTTTTCATGGCATGTATAGCTACAACTTATGTATCAAAACTTACTTCTTTTAATTCAATATATTAAGTTGTGTGTATGCAATATTTGTAGTTAAAATGGCTGAAGATTCAATCTCATAGCATTAAATATTCCACAATTTTCTAGGAGGCATGTCCCAAGACCCTTCTAGAAATGGCATACCTTGCATGCTGGTAGTGTGTTTTGCACACTTCGTGTCACATTGTTTAGCCGTGGCAATGGATTGATCACTCCAAAATTTCTTCCTGGCAATGGTTGTAATTATAGCAGTAGAAAGCAGCATCCGAGGAATTACTAACATTTCTACTTCTAATTATACTTTCCTGATGGGTTTTAAAACGTAGATTTAGTTTCACTCTCCACTTCGCCGAAACATGATATTTCACTTTCAATTCATTCCTTGGCTGTTTCAATTCTTCTTCCAGTTAAAACATGTGTATGTTACTTAACAATATCTGTAAGCGACAGAGTTCATAGATTCGCAAAGTTTAAACTCCATATCAACAGTATTAAAGATAGGTTTAGGTCATCTTCAGCATTATATAGTTTTCCTAATTTTTACAGCAAACATTGCAATAAAAACTGTATGATTATAACATCCAGTATTTTTCCTAAAACTTTTAGTTTAACAGCCTGAGCCCAGAGCGACGACTGGTCCAGTGGGAAATTTGCAACTATCCCATCAGGTCATTCATCTCTGTGTTACAAGAATTTGAGTATTTTGCCAGGACATCACTTATTTAAATTCTAGATATTTTTGTAACGTTTCTGTCATTAGTTGAGTTCTTTTGAATTATTTGGTAAAAATAAAGGCAAATCTCGTCCACGTAACGATAACAAATGAATTTCTTTCTTCGATAACGTTTGTTACAACCACTTGGAGGCCTAACTTCATAACTATATTTTTCAACATAAACTCGGCAACTAAATGTATCCCTAACTTCAAATACAATGTTTCAATATGAAACGTGAGACACACATGACTAACTTAAATTAACTCCAATAGGTAAACAAACATTTAACTCACAGAGTACCTGAATAACATAATAACTTTTCTGATACTGAATTAGCTCAATAATTAATTAACTGCTCAATCTTAATTCATTACTTATTGATTCACTGCTTCACTTTACCCATTTATATAGTAACCTTCTCGATACTTTCATGAGCTTTCTAGATCGTAACGTCACCGTAATTATGAGCTCTCTCTAGCAAAACATCCAAATTGAAACATTAAGAATACAACTTACAACAATATTAACTAAATATTGCGACAATAATTTTGTAAAAAAGTAAGACATCAGAAAACGGTTTATTTGTTTTTAAGCATAAAGCTACACAATCGGTTATCTGTATTCTTCTCGCAAAGGATATCGAAACATGATTTTTAGCGTTTTAAGTCCTTAGACATGCCGCTGAGCTACTGGCTGGCAACAGAAGACGGAAAACTAAAAATAATTTTAAGATCACACGCTTTATAACAGTTTTACCTGACGCCAACTATTTCTTATAATTTACCAAAGTAATTGTTAAGGTATAATAATATTAATTTAAGAAAACGGGATATTGAAATATAGCTTTTTAAAATAACTAATTCATATATAACTGAATTACTTCATCAGTTTTGTTTTACTTTGGAGTATTGCACTAGTAGGTTTTAGTAGAATGTAACATAAATGTTAAACAATTTGGAATTTGTTTTATGGAATTTTTGGATGTATGTCACTTGTTATTTAAGTTTTGTTTGTTTGTGTCCCCTGGTGGATTAGCAGTAATTTTACGGAATTAACACGATAAAATCTGGAGATAACCCAGTGTGTAGCTCTGCACTAAGACAGGGGTCAGAGACCCACGGCTCTTTGCGTAAATACTCCTACAAAAATAAAAAGCGTAAATTCTCATTTGTCAGAATTTAAAAAAAAATAAACACTCAGGCGTACAGACAGGATGATAATATCATTACCAAGTTTACTTTGTTTCTTTGAATTTTTTTTAAATAAAAGAAACAGGACACAGTTGCACTTCACATCTCTTTATATATTTTATTCAAATTCCAAATTCTTTATTGCCTACACAACAGCTCCCCATCGGCATGACGGTATGTCTGCGGACTTACACCGCTAGAAATCGGTTTTCGATACCCGTGGTGGGCAGTGCACAGATACCCCATTATGTAGCTTTGTGCTTAACTTCAAACAAACAAGCATACATAACAATCGTCAACTAATTCGAATTTAAATGTGAAATTTAAACCAATGTACCGAGGCCTCATTGACATTAGGCGGTTGGAAATGTAACGTATGTGGCTCTCGAAATGTTTTGGTCTTAGACAAACACAACAAAAAAGGCTCTTTTTCTTAAATGAATGGCCGACCCCTACATTAAGAAAACAATAATAATTTAATTATACATATCATAAGACATTATTAGTAGGCCTGTTATACTTCTAAATATTAAATTATTTATCTTGTTTCTTAGAGCAAATGATAAAATTATTTCAACCACTCTATATTCGCCATATCTATTTCCGACGACGTGTTTTGCTTAATCCAGAACTCAGACTGGCTGGGACACAATAAACAACAGTATAAATACTGGAATACTAGTTGTTAGAATATTACTTATATAAGACAGCTGTTACAACAACAATTTTTATGGCGTGAATGCCTTTTCCAAGCTGGCGAAACAGGATTATATTTAATTGTACTTGTCATAATACTCCAGAGATGAAGAAAGAAAACGGACTTATGGGAACATGAAGTAGACATAACAGTCCAGGAAGAGGAGAGTTGGAAGTTACCCTTACTATAGGAAGCTTTTCTACACCTCATGATGTGTTGGTAATTGATATTGAGGATTAGTGGATATTGGGAACTGACTTCCTGTGGAGACATGGATGCAAAGTTAGGTTAGCTTCAAATAGCTTCACAGTCTATGACCAGGAAATCCCTCTATACAACATGAAAATTACTATATTAGAGGCCGAACTTCAAGTGATAACAAGAACAGTTAATGTACCACTAAGAAATGAACAACTCATACCAGCACTTATTGAGATTAAATTTACATATTGTGACTGAGGCATAGTAGAACTAAATACTCCAGTATGTTTTGAAGGATTTGTGGTAGGAAGAACTCTTCTGGATTTGAAGAATAAATATGTAATCATCAGTGCAATGGACACAACAAACCATGAAACTGGAGTCAAGTTTGGAAGGAACATTGCAAGATGTGAACCTGTGCAGATAATACTTCCACATCAAATAAACTTAAAATCAGTAAAGTTTTAAAACAAGATGTGGGAAATATAATATCAAACCCTTAAATAAGGACAATTTACCATCTCATTTACAAGAGCTATATAACTGGAACTCTAAAGGTCTTATAGCTGATCGATGCCATGAATTACATACTTTCTCATGGAATATTAAGGTACCTTTTCCAGTGGACCTCATGACTTAGGCTGACACTGAATATCTAACCCCAATACACCAGTTAGCCAGACGAATCCCATTTGATAAAAAGACCGAGGTCTTCAAAGAGATAGAAGCCATAAAGAAACAATGAGCAATAGAACCGAGTACTAATTCTTGGGCATCACATTTTGTACTTCTGTAGAAAAGGGATAGATCAACAAGGTTTTGTGTGGACTACCGGAAGATAAATAAAGTCACAACAAAGGATTCCTAGATCAACAAGGTTTTGTGTGGACTACCGGAAGATGAATAAAGTAAAAACAAAGGATTCCTGTCAAGGATTGGATTCTATTGTTGATGCTTTATATGGATCAAAATAATTTTCAACAATCTTTAGAGTGGATATGAGCAAATGCAAGTTGATGTAGCAAATAGAGAGAATACAACCTTTACTGTAGGAAATTGGTTGTGGCAGTTTGTTGTGTTATAATATGGATTATCTAATAGCACCTGATACATTTCAACAACCAGTAGATTGATTACTATAAAGTACCATAGAA